GAGGAAATCCCATGAGCCCGAGCTGGTGTTGTGGCTCCAGAACGAATACATGGGTGGTGTCTTGAAACTGCAACTCGAGCGAAGAACATCAATCTGTGGATCAAATTCCAGTACAGCTTCCGATCTCAATGGAATGGATCGATGAGCAACAATTGCAGGCGATATTCTTCCATTTCCCAATCTTGGGGATCTCTATTTGCCCTTATTATCTCTCAGTACGGGAAGAGAAGTCTGATTTTTGCTGGTTAGGGAGGGAAGTGTGTGAGCACTGAGCATATAAGGCAGTAAGGGTCTTTCTCTTCCTGTCTTCCTTTTTCTTTCTTTTTCTTTCTTTTTCTTTCTTTTTCTCTTCTGTTTTCCTTTGGCCCGAAAGAGGGTCTCTCCCTCTTTCCTCTTTCTTTTTTTATTATTTCTTTCTCTTCATATTTCTTTTCCTTTTCTTTCTTCTGCTTTCTAAGGTATTTAAAAGAGACAAAGAAAAGTATTTTGCCCGAAGGGGCTATATATATATATATATCTAATATTTGTTATATTATATTATAATATAAGCTTGACTGCTTTTCTTCCTATAGCCCGAAGTGGCTGTCAGTATCTTTCTTTTCCTTTCTCTCATTTCCCTCTCTTTTCTTTTTTCTTTTTCTTCCTCTTTCTCCTTGTTTCTTTCTTTTCCTCTTTCTTTCACCTAGCCCGAGTGAGCTTTTATATATATTATATATTATATAATATATGTTATATGAGAGACAAATAAAAGTACTTGGCAGGGCTATGTGTATATATATATATATATATATATATATATATATATATATATATTATTTATATTATATGAAAAGAGGCAAAAACAAAAAAACAAAAAAAGAATAGTTGCCCAGATTTGTTTATCTCTTATCACTTTTTTCCAGTTTGCCCGACTTTGGACATTTTTCCAGTTTATTATCTCTACAACCAACAAGGATGCTCCCATGTTCGTTGTTGGTATCAACAAGAAGGAATACAAGCTAGACAGCAATATCCTTTCCAATGCTAGTTGCACTACCAATTTCCTTACTCCCCTTGCCAAATTTATCAACAAAAAGATCGAAGAGGTAGACGTGCCTCTTCCTTCAACATCATTCCTAGCAGCACTGGAACCGGAAAGTCATAGCAAATAAAGTTGCCCTTTATGATCAGTACATGGAATATCTTCCTCTCATTGTGCCTTTATTGTCATGGTGGGCTTTCAAATATTCCTACCTTCTGCAAGAGAAAATAGTGCTTAGTGGCGAGGCTTTTCTAGGTGTTCTTCATTCTCAATGTCTCTTATACCTGCTATATCATCAATCTTCTAGAAAAGCTTATTAGAGTCGTAAGTTTCACAAACTTTGCTCAAATTTGTAAAACTTTGGGGCTTCTGTTTGCACCTAAAATGTACCCAATTTTACTCATTTGGGCTAAATAAGGCATTTGGAGGATTATTATGCAAGAAGACTAACTTGAAAGATATTTGGCTACATCAAGTGAGATAGTTTGACATTATAATATTAATTTTCCCCTTTGTTTGAGTGGTAGAGGTTTGCCAAGAGTTTTGTTTAATCAAAACAAATGCTTGCTTTTGGATTGGAAGATAATATCCAGACATGGAAGTAGACATATGGAGGAAACAAGCCACCTTGTTTTTTTATTATTAGTTTATTGCTAATGGTGAAGACATATGCTAGAAACATGTGGTGGAAATGCCAGTTGTCATTTTTTATAATATTTCACATGCAAGCTGGCAAATGGAATGTATTCGGGCTGGATTGGTGTTCTTCGCAAGGAGCTCTTTTAGATCTCTATATAATGGAGCAGAGACAGAAGGATTATGGACACTCAAACAACCTTTCAAATCAGCTTACTCAAATCAGCTCATCAATCTCCTTGTAGACATTTAGTTTTAGCCAAGCATCCTTTGCTTTCCTTGTTTATTAGCTCTGCTGCTTACTAGTAGTATCGATCTCATTTGTAGTTTTATTTACAACTCTCAAAGTCATTCCCTAAACCACCAGAAATTACCACAAGACTAGAGCAACTTGCCCGATCTCTCGGGAATAAGCTCGAACCTTGTATTTGGTATCCATTTGTATTTAGAATGCTTTGTACTTTAAATAAATACAGTTTTATACAACTCATTTCCAGTCATTTACTTTTCTCAATCATTCACACTTCCAGCAACCTTGTCATTTAGTTGTTGTTACATTTCTCCATATAAGTAAAGTCTTTATTTTTAAGGCAAATAAAGTACCTTGATTTAAGTCACTCCAACTCAATAACACAATCTTTTGGTTTGAAATCAAACCCAGACACAACCACAATCATTCAAAACCTGTCTACCAAGGGCATCTAGTAGTGGTACGCTTGCACCCACCAATTTCATATTTGAGTAAATTCCCGACATGCCCACTAGATCCATGGCGAATTTAGGGAGCAAACAGTACCTAAACCCTGAACACAGCCTTCGTAACAAGCGGGGCTTCCCCAAATATCTGCATAAGCTGATCCGAATCTGCACAAGCACATTCGAACCCATTCGTCTCATCGCTCGCACTGTAAATAGTAACAACCCGCTCTTCGCTGCCCGGGACCGTTTCGCCGATTTGAATCTTGGATTTTGTCCTCCCTTAGCTGCTTCACAATCTATTCTCCTCTCCCAATTATGCTCCCAATCTTCTTCACTGGGCATAAATAACGGTAAATCGTGAACTCCGCGTCGATCATGAATTGCTCCCTTTCTTCGCCGAGATTTCTCCTTTTAATCCCTCCTCTGCCGCCGTTGTCACTGTACTTCGACTGCGAATGAGAACGCTTTCCGTAACTATTCCTCTGGCCCGCAATCGCTATCTTGTGAACGGAGAGAGATGACGATCAAACTGCCAGATTATGCTCTATGCGTTTTGAAATCTTGGATTTAGGTTAATAAATATTTTCTTTTTATGTTATATTGTAAAGATTTTTATTATTAAGTAATTTGTTATATGGGTAAGGTGCCAATATTTATTAACAAAAATTTAAGGGTAAAAGACTGTTTACTACCCTCATGTTTCGTGGTTTTCAACATTTAGTACATCAAGTTTTTTTCGTTTCAGATTCATACCTAAAGTGTAAATTTTGGGACAGTCTCATACATCTATTAGTCAAACTGTTAAATATGCCGTTAATTGTGACGTGCCGCTCATGTGGACAATGACTGGACGTCACATGTCATCCACATTTTTTTTCTTTTTTTCTTTCCTTCTTTCTTCTTTCTTCTTCCTTCTTCTTCTTCTTCCTCCGACTGCAACTCTTTTTTTTTCTTCCTTCTCCTTCTTCCCCATCTTCCTTCTTCTTTCTTCTCCTTCTCTTTCTTCTTTTTCTTCCTCCGAATCTGGGGAAGTTTTTTTTTTCTCCTTCTTCCTTCTCCTTCCTCCTTCCTTCCTCTTCTTCTTCTTCTTCTTCCTCCGAATCTGCCCAGATTCAGTGTTTTTTTTTCTTCTTTCTTCTTCTTCCTCCAACTGCAACTTTTTTTTCTTTCTCCTTTTTCCCCTTCTTCTCCTTCTTCCTTCCTCATTCCTCATTCTTCCTTCCCCTTCTTCTCCTTCTTCCTTCTTCTTCCTTCTCCTTCTTCTTCATCTTCCTCAAAAAAAAAAAAAAAATCATTCATCTTCCCCAGATTCGGAGGAAGAAGAAGAAGGGGAAGGAAGAAGGAGGAAGGAAGAAGGAAGAAGGAAGAAGGAATAAGGAGAAGGAAGAAGAAGGAAGAAGGAGGAAGAAAAAAAAAAGTTGTAGTCAGAGGAAGAAGAAGGAGGAAGAAGAAAAAAGAAAGAAAAAAAAACTGAATCTGGGCAGATTCGGAGGAAGAAGAAGAAGAAGAGGAAGGAAGAAGGAAGAAGGAAGGAGGAAGAATAAGAAAAAAAAAATTCCCCAGATTCGGGGGAAGAAGAAAAAGAAGGAGAAGGAGAAGGAAGAAGGGGAAGAAGGGGAAGGAAGAAGAAGAAGGAAGAAAAAAAAGTTGCATTCGGAGGAAGAAGAAGAAGAAGAAGAAGGAAAAAAAAACAAAAAACAAAAAACGTGGATGACACGTGGCGCCCATTCATTGTCCACATGGGCGCCACGTCACAATTAAGGTAGATTTAACAATTTGACTAACGGATGTATGAGATTGTCCCAAAATTTACACTTTAGGTATGAATCTGAGACGAAAGAAACTTGATGTACTAAATGTTGAAAACCACGAAACATGAGGGTAGTAAACAGTCTTTTATCCAAAATTTAAATAAAGGGGTTATGTAAAAGTGAATTAAAGCGTGCAGGGTGTAAGTGTAATGTCTCAAATGTGAAAGGTTTTTGTGAAAACTCAATAAACCTCAGGGTGTGTTAGTGTCATTAACCCAACCCTTGGAGCTTCATTGATACAGACAATTAAATTCAAATGGATAACCCTGGCATTTTGAAGGTTTAAGAAGATTTTGAGAGAATTAGAAGAGGATTAGACCTATAAAAACTTCTCACTTGAAATCCTCCATGTGGGACCATAATTTTTCAGCACCGCAATAATAGGTATACTTTAGAAGTTCGTCATGGACTCAACATCTCCGACTTGAGCTTATCAAACTGACCAGCGACGCCACCACATCTTGCTATGTTCCGGAAAAGGTAAGCGAAGTCCGCTGACTTCACTAAGACTGACTGTTTTTGTACTGCAAGACACGAAAACTTGATCAAATTGGGGATTATATTTGTTTCCTTATATTCTTGGAGATTCCTACAATCTAGGGATGGCGTGTGCCACAAGTAATCATACTCCAAATATAACATAATAACTATTTCTAGATATCCGCTTGGATTCTCTTAGTTTAATACATTTCTATATCTAAAAGGTCTCTATCTCAACTAATATAATACACCCATCTAAGGTTCATCTCTGATAACGCAATTATCACATACCTTTAAATGTAACCAAACCAATGCATTCGAGGAGAAATAGAGGGAAGTAAGAAGATAGAAAATTAGAGACATGATAGAGACAATGATTAACATCGACTACAACATGTGATGTTGTTTATTTATAGTGAGGGGCTACAACAACTAGAAAAACTGAGATCCAAATTATCAAACATAAACAATAAAAGCATATTTGATAGTTCATGAAAGGGGACCAAACGTGTTCCTCATTATGTAGCAATTCATTCACCAAGTTGGAGTGCCTCCTTAAACAATCTCTCAATATTATTGTACGATGATCCTCCAACATCAGTAGCTTCAACGGCTTTTTTCTTCCATTCCTTTGCTTTTCCCCTAATCTTCATCCCCCCTTCTCCTTCTAGCATTTCCTTAACAAGTGCTTCAATTTCGTGGCGCTTCACATCGGGGCTCAGCTCCATTCCAATTTCCCACGTTGTGCATGAGTACAGACAATTCGTTTGTTGCTCTGCAAAGAAAGGCCAACAAATTACAGGCACACCATGAGATATAGTTTCAATGGTAGAATTCCAACCACTGTGTGTTAGGAAAACCCCAACAGATGGATGAGCTAACACTTGCTCCTGTGCACACCAACTTGCAATATAACCCCTATCCTTAATCTCGTCAAAAAATTCATCGGGTAAAATTGGTAAGTCACCCTTTAACACATCAGCCCTAACTATCCACAAAAATGGGTGCTTGCTATTTGCTAGCCCCCAGGCAAACTCGATCAAATGTTGGTCAGTCATCGTCGTTATGCATCCATAATTTGCGTACACAACTGAATTGGGTTTCTTTTTATCAAGCCATTCCAAACATTTTGTGTCTTCTTTCCATAAGCTTGAGTTAAGTGACTTGACCAAACTGTTTTCGGGGAAATGCCTACCAAGCAAATTAAGGGGGCCAATGGTGTAAATGTTGGGGAACATTGTCGATATTACCTCTAACACTTCGTGTTCGAATTCGTCAAATGTGTTGAAGATGATTGCAGAAGAGTTCAAACAGCTCCATACTTCGGATCCCATGAAATTAAACATTATGTCGTTGAGATCAGTAACTCTAATGAAACTCGGGATGTCCTTGAGCCGAACATTTCTCATGCCTGGGATCCAATCAATTGGTGTATCGAGTGTGCCATCATGCATGAAATTCCCATCTGAAATGCATGCCAGGTGAAGCATGTGTGATGATAGATAATTATATTGATGGTTACAAGAGTAAATTTGAAGATCTCAAATGTTTACTTTAATTTGTAGTTGCTTGATAAAAAAAACTGATTTCTCATATTTTTACAGGTGCATGGTGCAAAATCCCTTGATAACTTTATCCAACAATTATATCAACTCGGTCAGGACCGACTCTTACAAATTGGAGTGATTTTATTAAAACCTAAGTGATCTCTATATAACTAATCACTTTAATGCACTGCCAAATAAAAGAATATATACTTGAAAGGGATGTGTATGATTTAACTCAAGTGTGTCATGATAATTTATGCATGCAAAAATGTTCATACACATAAATAAACTGATTATTTATATTATGCAACGAAAGCATAAAAAAAAAAAAAAAATGGTGCACAAATTACAGAAAGTACCTTTGAACGGAATGATGCCACGTTTGATGAGTTCACCGTATTGCAAGTACCCCATGAAGCCACAAGCAGAGGCAGTCCAAAATTGAACCTCTGGAATGCCTAATTCTTGAGCAGCTTGTCTCCCAAAGCCCATGACACCATCTGCAATTATACACGTAACTTGTGGCACTTGAGATGTGGTGTTGATCTTCTTCACCAGTTCTTTAAATGGGCCAAGACAAATTTTCTTAATGGAGTCACATAAAGCTGGAATATCTTGGGTTCCATCCTTATCCGAAGGGGGCAACCCGTCCGGTATGGTCTCGAACACAAAGTCTGGAAGACCCTTAACGGAGTCGGGACCTTTAGATCGAATTAAACGGTTGTGGTTGAACTCGGTGTTGATAAAGGTTATGTGGAAGCCCTTTGAGTGAAGAAGCTTGGCTAATTGCATCACGGGGTGAACATGGCCTTGTGCTGGGAATGGGACTAAAACTGCATGCAGTTTTTTGGTTGCTTTTTCTACCGAACTCATCATCTCTCTTTACCCAAAACTAGGAAAGAGCACAGTTTTGAAGTCCTAGGCTTGTGTAGTGAAAAGCCAACTTCGATCTTTTGATTGAAAATGTGTGCCGGCCTTCTCTTCGGCACTTATCAATTAGTGGGTCACGTTTGTCAAATGTCTTTGTTCTTTTTTAATTTATCTTCGGCGATTATTAATTAATGGGTCACTTTTGTCAAATGACTTTGTTCTTTTTTACTGATCCAAGTCATCTGTTTAGATGCGGCAGCCTTGTATTAGATGTTAAGCAGAAAACTCCAACAATCGGATCCATATCTTGTCATTGCAAGAGAAGTAAAGGCTGCAGCAAACTCCATCACGGCATGCAGTAACTAACAGTCTCAAGGGTCAAAACTCCTCTCTACTTTTCTCTTATATACTAACTAAAAATGTTTAGAAATTAAGAAATCTTGATCTCCAAAGTTCTATCTTCTTGTCTTCCCTTTCGCAGAAGCTAAAAATTAGATACGGATCAGCTCATCAATATCCACCCCGCTAACGGAACCCAGTACTCTATAGAAGTATTACGTTATTGGTGTCTCGCGCACTTTCCTCTTTTGTTTTTCATATCCAAGAAATTACTGAATATAGCCATGTTTGATTTACATGGTCCTCATTGAAAGGTAGGTACTCCTATCCCACTATGACTTAAGCTACCAAAAGTACTATACTTAAATCAAATATTTGGTTTTAATCATTGAACAAGTACATACAGAGAACAAGTAAGTTGTATCAAAAAGAGAGAAAGAAAAAAAGTGCTAAAGCAGTTCGATAATCATTTGATTTTTAACTTTGTATGACCTATGTTTCTTGAAAACTGAAACCAAATATTTGAAAAATTGTTCCGTAATTATTTTCAGCTGTAAAGCAAAAATTGTAAGCTACTTTTGTGAGTTCAAATTGAAAGAAGAGACGAGACAGATTGCCACCACCCCAAGGCCAACGACCAGAGTCGGCAGCTGAGGGATTTTTCCTTAGGTTTTCTCTCCAGAGAACGGCTAGGGTTTTAGTAATACGATTATTCTAATCTGAACAAAACGAGAGGATGGGTTTGAACGGTTCTAAAAAAACACTAGACGCTAGTCGGGCGGCGAGTTAGCGCCTAGCACCTAGGCGGCTAGGCGGGATCTAGGCAGGCGCCTAGGCGACCTAAGCGGATTTAGGTAAATTTCTTATATATCTTGTAAATAAGTGCATATTAACACATAAAAAATTATTATTATATGAAATCTATAGATAAGATAATAAAATAATGATAAAATACAAAAAAAGTATCCAACAAGTTCAAAATTTTAAAACACATTAAGCAAATATACCATATAATTTAAGACATTTTGAATGATTAGTAAGTTAAATTAATTAAATTCAGAGAAATAAAATATAATTCAAGATATTTTAAAAGGAAAACTAACCAAAAGTGCTTTAAAACATTAAGTTTTAACCAAAAACCATGTTACAAGTTTATTTAATGGTTAGTACAAAGTTCAATTTTAAATCTGTTTGTACCACACTTGACTAATCCCGAAACTACCGAGCACCGATCAACGTTATACCTTCAAGGACCCAGAAGAGTTTCCCTCAAACCAGGAGGTCAATCATAGCGCGACACGTGTCGACATCAGAAGCCAATCATAACGCGACACGTGTCAACATCAGAAGCCAATCACAACATGACACGTGTCAATGTCAGAACAAAGCTAGAAACTCTCTTCTATAAAAGGAGATCATTCTCCCACAATATTTCCTAATGTCATTTGTACTAAATTATTCATTAGTACTCACTAAAGGAGAGCTTGAACCTATGTACCTGTGTAAACCCTTCACAATTAATGAAAACTCCTCTACTTCGTGGACGTAGCCAATCTGGGTGAACCATGTACATCTTGTGTTTGCTTCCCTGTCTCTATCCATTTACATACTTATCCACACTAGTGACCGGAGCAATCTAGCGAAGGTCACAAACTTAAAACTTTCTGTTGTACCAAAGTCCTCGCCGATTTTGTTAATCAACATTTGGCGCTGTCTGTGGGAACGACACTTATTCCCACTTTCTTCAGCTTTGTCAAGTTGGTTCCACCATTCGTACATTCTTTTTTAACCAGGCATCCCTTTCTAACATGGGGAGCAAAGGAAGCCACAACACCTAGAATGACACCCATCTTGCACCTGGTGCGAAGCAATGAAAGAAGGAACAAAAGAAGTTTGCTTTTCAGGCTAAAGTCGATGAGCTGGAGGCTCAAAACAACAAGATAACGATGAAGAATGAGATCCTCCAAGAGCAGTATGAGAAGGTCTTCGAGATGTTCCACGAGGCTAGATATACTAAAACACACGAGCTCATCACCCCTGTGGAAGTCAACCATCAACTGGGTGCGCCCTCCAACACGGAGGGTCATTTGCCCTCGACATGGTATTCCTGTTGAGGAGCGAGCTACTTATCGAAATGGTGACCAACATGAGACTTCTCTCAACCCAGTTGTTTCGACCCGAAGCAAGAGGAATGGAGGAAGGCACCTCCTTATAGAAGGAGTGGAAGGATCGAAAGCCATTTTTCGCGATTGTCAAGACTTCCTAAAGCAACGTTGAGACAATCCCATCCATGTAAGCTTGAAGATTAATGACCCAAGGGTCTCTGAAAGACTCGGTCCTCTTCCATGTCCCAGGCCGGCTACCAATTTTGGGAAGGGGCAACAAATCCTAGAGAAACACGAAGGTATAGGGGACTCAGAGATGTTCCAACAGACATACCTTGGAAGTCAGTACGGCGAGTCCAGGGAAAAATGGCATGCTCTTGATCAAACCTTCCTACTTCCATTAGGAGATAGAGATTTATGAAAGAAAGCTCCAGTGGTACATGACTCCACTCAGGACCCTCTTGTCCTACAACTCCTTAAGGAAGTAAACAAGTTGAAGGCCGAACGACAAGTTGAGATACCTGATTGGAACCAACCTAGGCCTGGCCTTCTTACAAGGAAGATCCTCGACACCCCATCCAAGCAAAGACAAAGCAGAATCTTGGCTTGCAACTCTATACTGGAAATAAGGACCCGATTGAACACCTTAACCTCTTTGAGTCCACCATGGCATACTAGATGCACACCGACAAAGAGTGATGTCTTCTTTTCCCCTCCACCCTCTCTGGCGGAGCTCTAAACTGGTATTGCCGTCTTCCACCTGAGACGGTAGACTCATTTGAGGAATTGAGGAAATTGTTTATTTTTTAACACATTTTCCAGACCGATCACTTACACTCTGCGGATGACTTGTACATTATTTGTCAAAAGCCAGACGAGTCATTACGTATGTATGCTGGCCGCTTCAGCCATGAGTATTCCTGTTGTGCCGAGGTAGACGACAAGACTGCCCTCAAAGCCTTCACAGCAGGCCTATGTGACTGTTTCTTTAAGTATATGATTAATGCCAACACTTGGAAGACTTACTCTGAGGTGATGGCGCAGACTTATAACCATGCCTTCGCCGAGGCAAGGACATACCAAGAGAAACCCCTAACAAACATCCCCTATCAGCAAGTGGGAAGTGCAAGCCAGACTCACCCAAATAAGAAGACCTTAACCTTCCAAACGGCAGCGGTGCCTCCCCCTGCCTTACTTAATACTTTGCCAAGTCAACAGACATATCAATCTCAGGGCAAAAGGAAAGATTTCCATCCTCACCAGTCTCATTTTAGTAAAAGGAGTAGGGATATTACCGCGATAACCAAAGGTATCACCACGATAATCCCCGACACCAGGCAGTCAACACAGTGGGTCAAGCATATGTCAGGACATGCCCTACCCCGAGGTATGAGGCATACACACCTTTGAACGCCACATGCATGGCCATTTACCCCAGCATAGAACCTGATACGGAAGCCAAAGCCGAGGCACCCGGATTACAAGCCCACAAATAACACGGGCACATTTTGTTGCTACCACGAGTATAACGGCCATGACGGCGAAAAGTGTATAACCATTTGTGATCATATTGAAGCTTTGGCACGTGAAGGAAAAATTGATCAATTCCTTCTTCACCCTCCAAGGAGTAACCGTAACCAACGCCAGGTGAATATGATATATTCCATAAGTGGCGGCACACCCATATCTAAATCTTCCAACAGGGCTATGAAAAACAGCGAACGAGCTTTAAGGCCTGGCCATCAAGTGTTTCACGTGGAAGACATCAGGGGAGGCAAGTATCAAAAGCCTAACTAGGATCTAATATGTTTCTACTTTAAGGAAGAAAGAGATATCATCTACCCTTACAACGACCCACTAATCGTGGAAGCTCACATAGCTAACTTTGAAGTACGACGAATCCTGGTAGACATGAGGGCTTCGGTCAATATCATGTTTGCTGAAGCTTTCAGGGCACTTAATGTAGCTGAACACTTGCTCGATCACTCGATTTCTCCTATGATAAGCTTCTCCGGTGATATCGTTCAACCTTTAGGGAGCATACACTTACCTTTCACCATTGGTACAGGCCCTTACACAGCTACCATTATCACTAACTTCCTGGTGGTTGATTGCCCAATGACATACAATGTCATCTTCAGACACACATGCATCAATGATCTCAAGGCCATGGTATCCACACATATGTTGTTGATGAAATTTCCAACCCCCTATGGCAATGGTTACATTAGAGAAGATCAACTTAGTGCACGATCATGTTACAACACTTCGGCCAAGCAACAGCACCTACCTGTGCCCAAGGAAACCCTTTCTATACATGACCAAGTCATAAAGACCAGCCCAGACGAAGCCAACTTGGATCTTCACGGTGGCAACAATCAACCCGACAATCCTCGAGACGACTCTTTCACCCAGCAAGCACAACTCACTGAAGAGTTGGAGAAGGTTTCTATCTTAAAAGATTATCCATATCGCATGGTGAAGATTGGAACCACCTTGTCACCACCCATTCGGTTGGCATTGATCTCTTTTTTGTAAGAGAACATTGAGGTCGTCGCCTGGTCATACGAGGACATGCCAAGCATCTCTCCCGATATCATATGTCATCACTTGAGTATTGACCCCAAGACCAAGCCAGTGAGACAGAAGCGAAGATCTTATGACGCTGAACGATACGAAGCAATAA